CCCACTCGCCTCGCCAAAAACGAAGAAAAGGGGTGCCCCACTTACGGGCGCCCGCACCACGCTCGCCGCCGCGGTTCATGGGGAAGAGCAGCAGGACGGGGATGTAGAGCAGCACCAGACAGGCCTTATCAGAGTCGCCCGCCGCCGTCGATTCAAACAGCCGCTCCACAGCCTCTACGACCTCCCGCAGGGCGAGCCGCGCACACTGCGGGAGCCGCTCGATGGAGCGGATGGCGCGTTGGAAGTCCGCAAAGTGATCGGCCTCAGACCGGCCGGTCAAAAACTCCACTCCTGGGGCCGGCAGGGTCCGATGCGATCGCTGCCAGTGGCCGTTAACAGAGTTCGTGGAGGGCGGGGGCGGAGGGGGAGGGCCTTCAGGCGGCCCACCGGGAGGGCCCTGCCCACCAGGCGGGCCCGGTCTACCTGCCAGTGGTCGGCGAGGGCGCCACTGCTGGGATTGCCGACCTCCCCCTGACGGCGACCGACTGCCGCGTCGATCTCCCGATTGTTGACGGCCCGCACCCCCGGCGCCTTGAGCAGCCTCGCCTGCCGCCCGCAGGCCATCTTGCACATTACGCGGCTGGTCCGCTGCCTCGTGTCTGCGCCGTTCTTCGGTCTCACGTTGTTGCCGCTCCTCGGTCTCACGCTGTCGCTGCGCCTCAGTCTCACGTTGTCGCCGCGCCTCGGCCTCACGTCGTCGTTGCTCCGCGGTCTCACGCTCTCGCCGCGCCTCCTCGCCGCAACGCCCATGACAAAAATCACCGCAGCTCAGGCAAGGGCCGTCTCCTCTCGCCCGCCCAGATCGACGTCGACGGGTACCACATCGGCCGTGGCAGAACTGCCCGCAGCTGCCACACCGCCCGGCCACCACATCCCGCGCAGACCGCCGCAGCGAGCGGTCGCGGCACCTCCAAGTGCCCGTACGGCTCGGTTCGTCGAGTCCGTTAGAGTCATCCACATCACCTCCGTGAATTTGCCGCCGTCCAGCCTCAGGGGATCGGCACCGAGGCCTACATTGAAGGCGTCCGGCTTGGAAGAGGCCTGAGCGAGATAGAGGTGCAGTCGGTGGCCAACGTTGTCGGGGCGACCATCGTGGTTTGCCGGGCACACGAGAGTGTGTCTTTAGAGACGACCGCCCCCCTCCCCGTGGCAATCGGGCTGTTCGTCGACCCAGAGCAACAATTTCGAGTCGCCGGCAGCCCTGCCATCCATGTGCTCTACATGCCCGGCCACTTTGCCGTCATGCTGCCTGCTGACCGGCCGCACGACGACTGGGTGGAGGCAAACGATGCCGGCGACTCGAGCAACGCCCAGGCAGATGGAGGCCCCGCCTCGCCGATCGTGATCCATGACGACCCCCCAGGCGCCCCAGCCGCCCCTCCCCTGCCCGCCCCGCCGCCCTCACGCGATGACGAGAACGGGCGGGCCGACGCGCACAGCGAGGAAGTCCCGATGGACGTCGACGACCTGGAGGCGGAGTTGGCGGCTCTGGCAGCGGACCTGGCACTGGCGGCGCGTATCGACGGTGAGGGGCCAGGACCCGAACAACGCCAAGACCGCCCGTCGCCAACGGCAACGGCGACACCGCCGCTATCGTCGCCGCCGGATCGACTCAGGAGCCCACCTGGCGATCATTTCCCCTTCGGCGAGCAGC